GGCAATGAAACCTGGAAGCTGATTGGTTTCTATGCAGAAGGGAGTCTGATTTTGGACTCTCCAGCTTTAGTAAATAAACCCCACTGAGTCTAGTACTGTCAGACTGGCTGCTCTGGATCATGGATGACGAAGTCAGTAGTCTGGATCTACATGCTTGTCCATATCAGTCACTCAAAGTACTAGCCATCTGAGATGGAGGCTATCAGTGGCTTCCATATTCCATTCAGCAAGGCCTACTTTTAACTCTTTCACCACCGCAGCGGTTTTTGTGTTTTCCACACGTTTAAAAAAAACCTATTTAGGATTGAATAATACTTAAAACCCCAACACATTACACAGCTTTTGAAAGCACAGACTCTGGAAAACGAACGATGGTAGTTCTGATTTTCTGTCTCACAATGTTAGTGCAACAATTTATCAAATACACAATCTCAGTCAAAAAACACAAAATTTAATTTTACAGCACACAAAACGCAGTATATATTACCTTTTTTTTTTTTTTTTCATACAGGGCCTCTATGATTAACCACTTGCCTACTGGCACTTTTACCCCCTTCGTGCTCAGGCCAATTTTCAGCTTCAGTGCTGTCGCACTTTAAATGACAATTTGTGTGGTCATGCAACACCTATGTGAAATTTGTATCATTTTTTTTCACACACATAGAGCTCTCTTTTGGTGGTATTTAATCACTGCTGGGTGTTTTCTTTTTTTGCGCTATAAATAAAAAAAGAGCAAAAAATTTGTTTCTATTATAAAATTTATCAAACAGGTCATTTTTCTCCTTCACTGATGTGAGTTGATGAGGCTGCACTGAGAGGCAGCACTGATGGGCACTGATGAGGTGGCACAGATAGGCAGCACCGATATGCAGCACAGATCAGCACTGATGGGTGCAACTCCTGGGAGGTACTGCAGGGCACTGTTCATCATCGATCACCAGCAACTGTATTTACTCAGTGATCTGCTGTGTCATTGGACACAGCTGATCACGTGGTAAAAGGCCACAGGGATTGGCCTTTTACCTCATCACGTGATCAGCTGTGTCCGCAGGACACAGTGATCAAGGAGATCGCTGGGCACGCACCACTGAGGGCGCGCGGGAGGGCGCGTTCTGTGAGGACATCATATGGCGCCCTTCCAGAACTGGATAACCGCGCTGTAGCCATCATTCGGCTATAGCGCGGTTAGCAAGTGGTTAAGCCCATGAGCAAGTGAAACGTGTCAGTGGGGCATGGTTTGGGATGAGGCAGAGCTGAAGCCTTTCTGATATTTTGTGAACTGGGTAGCTTCCTGGTGTGTACTTCCATTTTTTTTTCCAGGTTATCAGGCAGGATGGGCCCTTGAGAAGCTATTACCCAGCGGTGTTAAAATCACCGGGTGACTTGGATGGAGCTTTGAGCAGCACTTCAGGTCATTTGGGCCTGTAGCATTTCTGCTCTCACTCCGCTGTGCACAATGATACGTGTAGCACTATCAACTTTTTTGTAAATAGATACCCCGATGCAGGAGTTTACATTTGTATGTGGCTGTATGTGTGGGTGGGGGCTCAACATTTATATGGAGGGGGTAATGGCTTGAGTGTAATTATTTTTTTTTCATATGGGGGGGCTAAAATTTCCCTATGTAATACAATTTTGTTGCGACAAGTTCTCTTTAACCCCTTTGCACCGGTGCCTCCCGGCCCTTTAAGAGTTTCAGAAGCCGGAAGGTGGGGTTTTAGATGGATGTGACCGCCGTGATTCGCTGTCACGATAGGAAAAGGTCCCGATCAAAAGGGGAGATCAGGACCTCTCTGTGAGTCATGGGCATATGTGCTGGGAGTGCACAGGGAGCACGCTCTCAGCACATATGTATTTTCAAATGGTACACAAATATGCGGCCTCTCAGCGTCAACGCCCAGATGCCGAGAGGCCGCATATTTGCGTTCGCTCGGCCTCTAGGGGTTAATGAAACATCAGGGATCTTTTACCAGGGGTGTGTGGAAGTGATTGTAATGGTTATGCGTATTAGGCACACAAAAGCTGTAGGCAACATCCATCTTGTTCAGGTCACAAGTCTTCCATGTTAACTTGTCAGAAGAGAGACATGGCCACAGTGACCTTTTCCTCTCTCCCCCTCCCTCCTCTTTTCAGCTTATACAGTCCACAAAATCTTAGTTGCTGGCAGACACCCCTTTTTCAGCCTGCTCCTAGCAGAATCTAACCCCCAATATACATTGCAGGGTCCATAAAATTGTCTGACGTAGTCGCTTCAATGACCAGAAAGTTACCAGTCATAAATACCATAGTTGGAAGTCGGGAGAATACACATCCCTTATGGACTGGTTATCAGCCAAGACTCTAAAACTTCAGCATATTTCATAACTCATGAAATAATGACCAAACAGCTAGATTATAGACATATTCACCTTCTTCAGCTATCGGGTAGCATTTTGAACCCAAGCACCCATATGCAGCAGGTACTAGAGTGGATGAGAACTCCACACCCCTCTTATGAGAAATAGATATCCAAGACCTGTCCTGAGGAAGTCACGCAATTCATGACGTAACACATAGGATGAAAGCACGGTGACGCCATTTCCGCTACGGATGGCAGCCGCCATCTTGCTACACCTCTCTACATTGCAGTTTTCTCTTGCCTGCATGGATCTGTGGACCCTGTTTTTAATGCGAGTAGTCACTCTGCCTTTTTTTTTATCAATGTTTACATATTACACTATGGGAAGTTTCTTAGTTTAATTTTCCATGTGGGGGCCATTGGAGAGGAGAGTATTTGGCCACATCCGTGAGGGAACACCCGTGCCATTACTGCTGGTACGCTTATGAGTGCTTACTATCTCCACCATATTGGATTACCCTGACCATCAATCGACGGGATAGACAGGGATATCATCATCTCCACCATATTGGATTACCCTGACCATCAATCGACGGGATAGACAGGGATATCATCATCTCCACCATATTGGATTACCCTGACCATCAATTGACGGGATAGACAGGGATATCATTATCTCCACCATAGAGGATTATCCTAATATCTAGGGGATACACAGGGATATCATCATTTGAGTCCATTCAAAAGCCTTGACCCCTTATGGGTCACAGCCTGGAGGTGAGCGCACACGCTAGCTCATGGAGGATTTGTGGTTTTGCAGTGGGCACTGGATGTTTCACAACCTTTGTTGAAGTCCACCAACACCAACCCCCTTGGTCAGTTATTGAGCTATTCATTTTTATCTTATTTTTGGCTGGAGTTCTGCATGAAGGTTGCCTCTCCAAGAACTATATCTACCACTAGTGGACCCAATTCACTGTCATGCCTTAATTTGTCAGAATTGTCCATACCAGTTAACTATTAAAGTAAACCAGTCTGCTAATTTATATCTTCTGATGCAAGTTTCACTTTGTTAAATTGATATTAAAATCTTGTTTGTTTTTTTTTAAATAATAATGTTCTACTTATCTGCACTGTACAGCTTGCTTGCTCTGGGGGCACGCAAGCAGGCATGCTCTCAAGCCTGCTTCACACACAGAGCCACGGCTCAGCCCAGCCCCACCACCTCCGTCATGTGACAATGTTCAGGTCTGGCAAGGTTAGTGCTGTCACATGGGGGGGAGGTCACATGCACCCCAGATGCCACATTACAGCAGGTATGTAAAGCGCTGAGCAAACTGTTGGCGTTATATAAATCCTGTATAATAATAATGTGGCAAAGGAGAGTGGCTGGCATGCCTATGAAGGATGGACTATGGGCAAAGTCACAGTCTCTGTAACTCCCAGGAAGAAGCTTCTGCCACAAGTCAGGAAAGCCAAACCCCTGGTATCAAAGTGAACAAGAACTGGGGGAGACAGAAAAAACTCTCTCTAAAAAAAAACTAGTGTCAGGCAATTAGTGGCAGATGTTCAGAAGCAGCTGATCCTCCAACATCTGGCATTTCAGTAACCTTTAACTTCTATTTGATTCAAAGTTATAAAAGAATCGATTGTAGAGGACAGAAAGTAATATTCAGAGATGGTATGGTATATGGAATGGCTTTTTTCAGTGCTTCTAGGTCTCATTAAAGATCAAGCATTGAGCAAATCTTAATCACAAAGGATTTGTAACAGCACTGATCGATTGCCCTATCAGATATAAAATGAAAGAACAAAGAAATGCTTATAGTCAATGTGAAAGAATAAATTAGTATGCAAGTGTGATCTGCTATAGCACCAAGCTCACGCAGGTTTTCAAACAAGAACATTTGAGCATGCCCATAAACATGTGACAAGCATGTAGTGGGCTTCCATCCATGGCAGAAAATGAGTTTCTATCGCCATCTACTGTTAAGAAAACAAACAGCTTATTCTGTAATACAATATATACCGGTAGGTGTTTTTTGTTTTTTTTTTTAGTGGAAAACTAGCCACTTACTGCCCAATGATGTACTTTATACGGAGGGCCTTATAGGGGGTTATACGGGGCCATGGCTGCAGCTGTGGTCATGACCCAGGTATCTTTTTTTTTTTTTTCCCCAGCCCACAAAGAATCTGAACAGGTAATCAGCCACTGGATTGCTTTTACATGCAGCAGAAGGGGGTCACCCCCTCCCACCAGGGCTAAAACCAGCAGTTCTTGGTTTTAACAGACCCCAGATCTCTAAAGAGGACTTTGTCACTTCTCCAGCTATCACAAGGGTTGTTTTTCAAGTGCCCTCGTCCCCCTGTGCTTGTGCACAAAAGCACACACATGCGTAGGCCACGCATACATACGTAAACGGTGTGCGCACCACATTTCACGTACCGCTGCAAACGTTATTCTAGCACCAGGCCTCCTGTGTAACGTTATTATGGTAACCTGGAAAGGTTTTAAAGCTTCGCCTATGGAGATTTTTTTTAAGTAGCGTAGTTGGACGCCATTCCACGAGACATAACCTCATCTTTTATATTTTACCAAAGGAGTCATATTTTGTTTTTGTGTGCATTAACCCCTTCACACCTAAGGGTAAAACAAATCTAAATGCCTAAGCACAATTTTGCAACGTTGACATATGTTAGTAAAACCGTACATATCATCACAACTACTTTGTACATCCAGGTGGATTATACCGCGTTATTTTCAGGACAAATTGGGCTTTCTTTTGGAGGTAAATGGTAATGGATATCTCCTGATTGTTTTTTTATTATCAAAGAAAAACTGGCCCAAAATAGTAAAAAAAAAAAAATAAAAAAAAAAAAAAAAGAGTCATTTTTAAATGTAGCTGTGTGTTTCTTGTTACTACCATAACCTACCCCCAAAGAACAACCCAAAATACATTTTCCAGCTGTTGACGATCGCAGCGATACCATATATGTGTGTTATTTGTTGTTTGTACCCATAGTACAGCCCAGAAACAATAGTGCGCATTTTGTTTTTTTACCTAAAACACAGACACCCAAATTTTTTTTTCTTTCTAAATCCTGACCTTTGACCTTCACCCAAACACTTACTCTGGCACTGAACTAGATCAAACCTTGATCTACGTGTTTTTTCTTTATTTAATAATATTTATCTTTCTTTTTTTTTTTTTACAAACATTTTTTTTACCTCTATGTCAGGAGTTAGAGATACAATGCATCTCTCTCCTCCATTCATAGAGAAAAAAAAAAAAAAAAACAAAACAAGTCAGGCTGTACAGTGACTGATCACTGTGATAGTCAATCAGAGGCCATCACAGGATCATGTGAGCCATATTCGGGAGTCCCGAGTACCGTCCGTTAGAACGGGACCCAGAGCTCTCAGCGACACCCCGGTCTTTGTGCTGGGAGCGCGCTGTGCGCAAATATGCGGCCCCACGGAAAAAAAGCCCAGTTCTGTGAGGCCGCATATTTGTGTTATGTCGGCATCAAGGGGTTGAGATTAACTAAAGTGTATTTGTAGCCAAATAATTATGTTTGAAAAACCATTGCACAAAAAAAAAAATGCACCACCCACCATTTTATTCTCTAGGGCCTCTGATTTTATTATATATTTAACATGTTTAGGGTTTTTAGATTTTTACATGTATGTGAGAAGTGTCGGAATTGGCCTGGAGGAGCAGTGGTAACATTGTCAGACAAACTTTCCCTAGCCATTTGACCACCAATTCTGGGACCAGCTACTTTAAAGTAGCCAGGCAGTCTCTTAATTCCAAAATGACATCTTAAAATGAACTTCGGATCAAATCTAAAAAGTTTCTTCAACTATGAAAAATCACTTAATTCATTACCATACATTTCCCAAGTCCCAAATATGAAAATGCAGCTGGCGGCTACCATTTTGTTATCTGAGCAGTATCCAGCAGGCCACATGGGGTTTATTTACTAAAATTGAAACATGCTAAATCTGGTGCAACTCTGTATAGAAACCAATCAGCTTCTAGGTTTTATTGGCAACGCTTAACCACTTCAATACCGGGTACTTTCACCCCTTCCTGCCCAGGACAATCTTTAGCTTTCAGTGCCGTCACACTTTGAATGGACAAATTGTGTGCTCACACAGCAATATACCCAAATTAAATTTTTATCACTTTGTTCACACAAATCGTGTTTCCTTTTGGTGGTATTTAAGCACCACTGGGTTATTTTTCTTCACTAAATTTAAAAAGAAAAAAAAGCATTTTTTTTTTAATTTCTTTAATAAAATGTTGCAAATAAGTAATATTTCTTCATAAATTGAGGTCAAAATGTATTCTGCTACATTTCGTCAGTAAAAAAATAACCCAAATTTATGTATATTATTTAGTTTGTGTGAAAGTTATAGTACAAAAACTATGGTATATATTTGAAAATGATCAATCCTGTTGTACTGACAGCCAATCTCATTTCTTGAGGCCCAAAAACACCAAGACAGTACAAATATCCCCCAAATTACCCCTTTTTGGAAAGTAGATAGGTATTTGGTAAGAGGCACGGTGAGTTTTTTGAAGTTATAATTTTATGTCACAAATGTTTTGAAAACTAAAAAAACACACTTTTTATTTTTTACTGTCACCAGTGCAGCACAGCATCATCATATAACTGGTGTGACTGATCAGGGACACCGACTGGTGAGGGTATGTGTAAAAAAAAAAAAAAAAAAAAAAAAAAAAAAATCTTTTTTTTTTTTTACATACTGTGACCAGAGCAATAAAATGTTACCATAGTAACATTGTACAACTCTGGGGAGATGAGTAGTTTTTTTTTTAGCACATTATGATCACTTATACCAGTGAATTTCATGGCTATAAATCATTTTTACTGAATGAAATCGATTGGCCACAGCCATTCACATGGTAGATGGGCTGTGATTAGCCCTGTCTGTACCATGTGATGACTGTGACCAATCACAGAGAGCAACACAATAGTACACAATGTATGGCATGAATGAAAGCTATCTATTGTGTACAATTGTCATGTGATCTGCTGTTACTGGTCTCAGCAAACACATGGCAATGACAGCAGGTACAGTGATCTGTCATCCGCTGTGTATGATGTCTACCCAGAACGAGAGAGAACCAGTTAATTGAACAAGCTCAAGTTAGCAGCTGACTGGCTACCATGCACAGCTGCACCAGATTCTGAGTGCTCCAGCTTTAGCAAATCTCCCCGTGTGTCAATCCTCCCCAAAATGTGCATCCACGCAACATCAGTATCATTTTCCATGGTAACTTCTGTCCATAGCAGTTGATGACAGAAACTGTAAAAGCAGCAAAAAGTTGGTTTCAGAAGAACCCGAGCGCAGAGAAGATGGTCTGTGTACAACTCAAAACCTATACATGCACACCCACTGGCGAGTCTATGCAGGTACTCTCCCATGTAGGAGTGGATGCAGGATAGCATGAGTGAGTGTAGATTAGTAATGGACCCCCTCCTAGAAGTGTTCAATTGAAAATGGTTGAAAACAATGGGAAAAAAAAAAAAACTTTTTTCCCAAAAATTTCATTCGATTTTGGCACAAATGGACTTTCTTCAGTGAAAACCACATGTCCTGTTAGAAATTCATTAGAGAAAAAATTTTCATTTGACCCCAGTAAAGATTAGAAAATTAAAAAAACATCCTTGAAAAATTGTACTAGTATGTGGCCAGCTTATGGTTTGATGGGACACACACCACACACACGGACACACACACACACACGGACACACACACGGACACACACACGGACACACACACACACACACACACGGAACTAATACCACAAAAAAAACAGCTTTGTAGAACATTGTAATTTTATTTAAAAGATAAATAAAATGATCCACCATATAAAAAAGGTACAGGGCTTTCATCCTGCTCCACATAAAGAAACAGTTAAACAGGAACTGTTATTTAGGCACAATAGAGAATTTGTAACATCCAAGTATACATTGAACAGCTCTGCTGTTTATTCAATTCTCATCAGATTGTGTGATTCACATACACATAAAAATAGTGAGAAAGTAAGAAAACAGACAGTAGACAGAGAACAATATACAAAAGAGGCAGGATTAAAGGTCTCCAAAGGATGGGCAATGACAGGGTCAATCACTTCCTAGAGGGTTCCTAGTAGGTCTTAAAGTGTTACTAAACCCACAGCAGTACAATCAGTCTGTATTTGCAGTAAAGCATGCTTGTTATACTCACTGTGGAACCTAAGGGGTTAAACCTCTGCATTGTGTAAAAAGGATGTTTGATCCTCCCCTTCTTCTAGTGTCTCTCAAATATCTCCTGATAGAACAAAGGCTAGAGGCAAGCTGCACATGCTCAGTTTGTTATGTATTGCTAGCTTTTTTTTTTTCTTTGGAGACTGCATGTGATCAGTACAGGGCCAATCAGCAATCTCCAGACAGAGCTCAGGTCCTACAAGGTGTAACCAGTGCTCTGCTGGAAGTCACAAGACTGCTCAACTGCTGACAGAAGTCACAAGACTGCTCTAACCAGATATGCTGATGAGAAAAGGTATTTAGCAGTTTATATTTAGTAAAATAATTGCATTTCCATGTTCTGTGTACTGTGGGAGACCAGATATATAGTGAATGCAGGGCCCGGGCGCGACCGGATATAGTGAATGCAGGGCCCGGGACTGGATATAGTGAATGACCGGGGAGAACAGATATAGTGAATGCGGGGTCCAGGGCCCGGCGGGGTCCAGGGACCGATATAGTGAATGCGGGGTCCGGGGAGACCAGATATAGTGAATGCAGGGTCCGGGGAGACCAGATCGGGGGGGGAGACCAGATATAGTGAATCCGCAGGGTATAGTGAATGCCGGGGAGACCGGATATAGTGAATATAGGGTCCGGGGAGACCAGATATAGTAAATGCAGGGTTTAGTAACACTTTAAGCTGGCCATATAGTAGTCTTTTTTTTTTTTTTTTCTTCATTCAGCCAGCCAGCTGAATGAGAAAATGAAATGCGTTCTCTATCCAAACATTCAAGGTGGATGGCAAAAATCCTCCCCACTTTGTCTGTATTCTGACAGCAGGACTTTTTTGCCATCAGAATACACCGATCAACCGCTCCAACCCATTGGCTGCATTCACTGACCGAATGCTGGTTTTACAGCAAGCAGCCTAATGCCCAGCTTCTGTTGAACAGAGAGGGCTACACACGGATCAAAATTAGTCAGGTTCCTGCAATTTTTTGCTTGAATTTCAAGATTTTTTTTTTTCTATCAACAGCTACTGGTAGATTCAGACTGAAGTCTTTCTAGTTAACAGACAGACAGGTTTTCCCAGTTCATCAAGTATACAGCCGTTTTTTCTTCGACAGTCCTGCAGCTGGCAGTGATTACCCACCTGAGCAGAAATCTGCTTCAAGTCAGTCTAGTGCAGCGTTTCTCAACTCCAGTCCTCATGGACCCCCAACAGGTCATGTTTTCAGGATTTCCCTCAGATGAAACAGCTGTGGTAATTACTAAGGCAGTGAAACTGATCAAATCACCTGTGCAAAATAATGGAAATCCTGAAAACATGACCTGTTGGGGGTCCATGAGGACTGGAGTTGAGAAACACTGGTCTAGTGTATCTGGGGATTCCTTGCAGTTATCAGAACCAGAGCTGCGGGAGACTAAAGTACTAAAGTGTAAACGTTGTTTATCTAATGCAGAGAAACACTCCAATACCTGTCCTACCCACATCTCTAAATACTTACCTAGCCCAAGTCACCTTGGCTAGATCTAGCAATGCTCCCTTTACTTTCTGGTTTCAGAGGAGAAACTAGAAGCCATAGGCTCTTGCTGCCATCAGACAAGTTCCTGTGAAGAGGGAGTGGGAACATGGCTTTCTGGTACTGTGTAGGTCTATGGACACACACAGCTTGGCACAGGAACAAATGGAACATGCACCCATTAGTGTCTCCTTAGTGCCGAGCTTGCTAAGGAGGCACCTGAACAAAAGGAAGAGCCTACCAAAAAAAAAAAAAATAAAAACTTTAAAAGATAAGTTCACATATCACAACATGTCACATGTTACACCTGTATTACATTTACTGCTAAATAAGCAGCCCCCACAAAAATCACCCCACCCAAGCCCATATTCTGACAGAGGGCCAGGATCTTCTCCCCAGACCCGCTGTTTTGAAAAAACTTTTGTGTGGGGCTCTGCCCACCTAGCTGGGTCATTTATTCACAGTTCTGTGATTGAGAGACCTACAACTACCATCATCCACTGCGGCCAACGGCTTATAGTTCTCACTGAACTACCTAGGTGCTGGTGAGCAGTCTAGTAGTAAATACATTCTTCCTGCCATTTAGTAACTGCCTGCCTGTACGAGGTATGGGCAGACAGATACACTGACAGTCTGCAGGAGACTGGAATTGCACCTGTGATCTGCTGAACACAGGTACAATGATTTACATAAAAAACATCTAGTCTTTACGCGCCTAGCGTAGTATATCCCTAGGCTGCTCATCATCAAGTGGTGTCCCTCAATTAAAAAGACTTATGGAGAGCAAAAAAAAAAAAAAAAAAAAAATCCAAATTTTTTGGGTTTGCCCATACATACGCACACTTCTACAACCAGCTGTAGCCATCATGAGATAATAATTTGTGGCCAGTTTTAGTGAGTGTAACAAGCCCTCATTGTTCAGTCCAAATCGATAAACTTGCTGTTGGGCACCCAAACTGCACTGTAGTAACCACAGGCACAGAAGAGACTGAGCACAGCTACTAAGGGGAACACAAAGGGTGTCATAACTCATTGACACCCTTTAATCGGGTAATACAAAAGAAGGGCGAATGGTTATTACAGACTTTTCACAGATAAACTGCCAGCCTTGTGCTGCTGGTAGGCAAAACATGCTGGGCCACAGTTCCCCTGAGTGTTACAAATAAAGGAGTCCTTGGGTACAAAAGCAAAAATCGTATAAAAGTAGAAAAAATAGAAAGCGTAACAAAAAAACTGGAAGAAAAATAAAAAATTTCAAAAAGAGACCCAGTTGCATATATACAAACTACCTGCAAAAGGTGGTTTTTCCACTTGCTTGTTCCAAAAGGTGGTTTTTAGACTCGTCTGTTCCAATGCCATTTTGTGTAATCTTCAGAGTTTTGCAGACACCTGCAAACCACCTTACAGAAGTGTTAGGAGATCTGCCCCACAACAACATGCTATGGTTCCATCCCCTGGATTCTACATCACTACTGTGTTCTGTAATGAAGTAGGAGGGTCAGCACCTTGTAGTAAAAGCAAGCATCTACAATACCTCCGCATTTCTGTGCAAAAGATCAAAAATTCTACAAAACGTACATAGAGACAGGTAGGTAAATCCAACCCTCTCTTGCAGAGCGCAACAAATATTTTTTTTTTTTTAAGTTGACAGTCACTTTCAATAGAATGCCACTCAGAATGCATCTGTTATAGATGGATACCAGCATGGAGACTCCTTTGCCAGATTCTTACACCCCGCAGTGCGAAGTCACCACCCAGGTCCTCATTTATTGCATAAACAACCATCTCAGCTTAGTTGGGAGCCTGAGACAGGAGATTTTGTTTTGATTACACACAACTGGTTATGAATTTCCCTGGTCATTGTACAAACCTTCTAATGACTTGTGTTACAGTTTCAAGACTATAGACTGCTGCAGTCAGTGCAATGTTCCTCCCTTCATGGAGGATCCCCCTGAATACCTATCATCAGGACCTGTAGAGTATATATGGTCAAGGTAATAGGTAGGGGAAATTGATAACCAATTGTACAAATCAACTAGGCGGAATATGGTCACCTCTTTCCCCTTTGCAACAACACTGCTTTTTCTAATGCAGAGATGAGATGGCTAGGACTGCGGCTGGAGGCAGAGCTGGTAATCCTGGTAGGAAGTTGCCTGAGGGCTGTAAGAACCTGGCCAGCCATCCAAGCCACTGGCGTTCATCCTAAACAGACTCTTAAATCTGTACATCTCGCTGTACTCTCATTGCAATCTAAGCCTTCTAGAAGGCCTCTCAGTAACAAAACTTTATGTAACAGCTTTCATGTGAAATTTTCTTGGTGGATGAGCTTTTCAGGTTGCTGTTTGGCACCAGATGACTTGTGCTACCAGTAAACGACCTAAACTCAGATAGAAAATGCCATTTACAGCCTAAAAAGACAGAGCCTTGTTCAGAGACGTGGGGCAGTGGTGTGGAGTAAGCCCTAGCAACCAAATCAGCGTAGACGGCAGCAGTTTGGTGTAGTTAGTCTCACACTGATTTCTGATTGGTTGCCATGGGTCATAACCCCACTGTTGCTCTAAACCATAGAATTAACACTGCAACAATTATATTAGGAAAATGGCACTCCTATGTAACTAGGACACCTACAATCAGCAACCTAGAAAGGAACCCATTACTTTATAAACAGTGGGGCCCAATTCACTGTTCCTAAACGGCCCACTGAAACACAGTTTCATGCAGCAGATCTGCATTTAATGGCTGCACTGTGATACCAGATTTCATCAGTAGGTGGCACTGCAGGAGAAGTCAGGAATTAAGGCTCCAGATCCCAACACCACCTGGGAGCTGTTTGGAGAGGTTACCTCTTTGTGAAACTTATGAACCATCAGGGGATTTCCTGAAAATCTTAATTAAAGAGGACCTGTACTCTGGAAATGCTTGGAGTAGCAATCACAGCCAGCAGTGCCTTACAAGATCTCACACTGCAAATAAACAACTTTGAGGCTACAGAACAGGAGAGCCTAGGCACAGGAAGTGCACCACTGTATTCCGGGAGGAATTAGGACAACATGGTAATATTTTATGTGGTATTGCTTAGGCACAATTTACGTTTTAGATGTTACCTATAACATAGCAAATATTACATTTTTGAGTTCAGGTCCACTTTAAGATTTCAAGATGAAATCAAAGCCCAGAGCTGGCCTAGTCTGCAGAGGTGTACATGCATACACATGTAACTAACTTTTTTTTACATGCCAATTTACCCAGTTGATAAATATATAGATATGGCTTGGACTGGGGACTCAGATAATGAGATAGGTGATCAGGTTGTTGTTGTTGTCAGCAGCTCCAGCAATGCTCCGACTGCTCCAAAATAACCCTGCAAGAGAAAAACAGACATTGATCATCGATATAGAAGAACACCAAGGAGGAGGTCATCTACACAAAACAGATAGTCATGGTCTGCCAAATCAGCATATGTGTAGTCTACAAACCAACAACCTCGGCATAGAACACACAGGTAACGATATTATTTACACAGATGGTTTCTTGGCTACTCAGGGTAAGAATATGAACATATGGAAAAAAACGTTCAACGTGGACTTACACTTTAAAAACACATTACATTAGGGGGAAAGGAGGAGGAGAGGGAGCACCCCGAGGTGGGCAGGCAGACCCATAAATATGGTGGGGACATCTGACTGGACTCAAAATTCCTCAGTGAAACCAGCTCTAAATTCCGGCCCACCTAGGCAGCCCCCTTTCCCACTCATCACAGTACACAGCAGACCTGTCCACTGCAAACCAGAGCTCTTAGTTCAGCTTGTGTGTGGCAATGCAGAAATATACGAGCGTTCAAGTCAAACCGGAACTTATGAGAACAGATTTCAATGAGTGGAAACTGCATTTATTTTTCGACATACTCCTCTGCTACTTTTTTACACTTATCTCAGCATTTAAAGTGTTACTAAAACCCACAACAGTACAATTAGTCTGTATTTGCAGTAAAGCGTGCTTGTTATACTCACTGTGGAACCTAAGGGGTTAATCCTCTGCATTGTGTAACAACACTGTTTGACCCTGGCATCTCTAATCCTCCCCTTCTTCCAGCATTCTCCTCATCTCCTGATAAGACATTTCGTGGAGTCACTCTGCACATGCTCAGTTTGGTGAGCATTGCTAGAGGGGTTTTTTTTTTTCTTTGGGAGGGTGCATGTGATCAGCACCGGGCCAATCAACACTGTCCAGACAAAGGTCAGGGGTTCTGCATTCTCCTAGAGCAGAAAGAAAATACCTCCTACAAGCTTTAACTGATGCTGGACACTGATAGAAGTCACAAGACTGCTCCAACTACTGATGAGAAAAAGGTATTTAGCAGTTTATATTTACTAAAATAATAATTACATTTCCATGTTCTGTGTACTGTGAGAGACCAGATATAGTGAATGCAGGGTCCGGGGAGACCAGATATAGTGAATGCAGGGTCCGGGGAGACCAGATATAGTGAATGCAGGGTCCGGGGAGACCAGATATAGTGACTGCAGGGTCCAGGGAGACCGGATATAGTGACTGCAGGGTCCGGGGAGACCGGATATAGTGACTGCAGGGTCCGGGGAGACCGGATATAGTGACTGCAGGGTCCGGGGAGACCGGATATAGTGACTGCAGGGTCCGGGGAGACCAGATATAGTGAATGCGGGGTCCGGGGAGACCGATATAGTGAATGCCAGATATAGTGAATGCAGGGTCCGGGGAGACCAGATATAGTGAATGCAGGGTCCGGGGAGACCGGATATAGTGAATGCAGGGTCCGGGGAGACCAGATATAGTGAATGCGGGGTCCGGGGAGACCAGATATAGTGAATGCGGGGTCCGGGGAGACCGGATATAGTGACTCCAGGGTCCGGGGAGACCGATATAGTGACTGCAGGGTCCGGGGAGACCGGATATAGTGAATGCGGGGTCCGGGGAGACCAGATATAGTGAATGCGGGGTCCGGGGACCAGATATAGTGAATGCGGGGTCCGGGGAAACCAGATATAGTGAATGCGGGGTCCTGGAAGACCAGATATAGTGAATGCGGGGTCCGGGGAGACCAGATATAGTGAATGCGGGGTCCGGGGAGACCAGATATAGTGAATGCGGGGTCCGGGGAGACCAGATATAGTGAATGCGGGGTCCGGGGAGACCAGATATAGTGAATGTGGGGTCCTGGAAGACCGGATATAGTGACTGCAGGGTCCGGGGAGGGTCCGGGGAGACCGGATATAGTGAATGCGAGGTCCGGGGAGACCGGATATAGTGAATGCAGGGTCCGGGGAGACCAGATATAGTGAATGCGGGGTCCTGGAAGACCAGATATAGTGAATGCAGGGTCCTGGGTTTAGTAATACTTTAACCAATGCCTGGAAAGCTTTGGCACAGAAAGATTTGTCAGTACGCCTGAACCATCCTTGGACACCGACGGACCTACAGCCATCTTACTGCAGCTTAGCATCTCATCACTGTACTGTGCTTGAAGTCTTCTCTAGATATCCACGGGTTTTACACCTTTGTCCACAAGAAACCTCATCACCACAAGCTGTTCCATGCACACACACTAAGATTGTTGTCTGCCGTCTTGATTCAGGGTCTCTGGACTACATACACACATATCCTTCCATTCCACTATTCCTTCCCATTTCTATCTCAGCATGTCAGCAGTAATATGAGTCACAGTCCAAGGTAAATATAATACCTCTTTATGTGTAGCGCTTAAAATTCCTTTCTACCTATAGGTTAGTGTATTCAGATAACACTATGAATATCTAGATATACATGATTATACATAATAACGGTCTATAGAAAGTGCTATGTGCCAGTGACATCTATGCAACTCTATAGAAAGTGCTATGTGCCAGTGACATCTATGCAAACCTCCATGCAATACTTTATACTTAAAGTAGTTATAAAGGCAGAAGATTATTTACCTTTGTGCATTCTATGCATGAGGATAAAAAACCTCTGTGTACAGCTGCCCCCCTCCCAGCCCCGCAATACTTACCTGAGCCCCCTCTAGATTCAACTATGTGCTGGCTCTCTCCTTCCTCGTTGGCTGAGAGACAGAAGCAGAAGTCACTGGCTCCCACTGCCATCAATCACAGCCAGTGCGGGGTACTGGGCTGAGCCACGCTCTCTGTCAACTGACACACAAAGCGGGCCTCTGGAGCAAGCATGCACGAGTGCCCCTATAGCAAGTGGCTTGCTATGGGAGCACTTGGCAGGGAGGGGAAGAGCTTGGAACACCAAGCTGGGGAACAGAGGAAGAGAGGGGCTGCTCTGTGCAAAACCACTTTTCCTCCCTCTATTCAGTAGCTTATACCTACTACCACAGTAACTCTCTAGATTCTTATTTTCTTTACTATTTACCACCCTCTGTCGTATTAACTTTTACACGATACTACCTTTTCCACTAATATAGATCTTTATTTTCTAGGTATGTTTCTGAGATCTCTCATAGTGCCAGGGCCTCCTACATACTGGAAACGCTAAATAATTGCCTACACCATAAGGCCTACCCTTCTCATTAACTGCTTCTCCAATCATAATAGATTGGACTATTTTCACCTTTGCTGAAGTGGGCCAGAAAAAAAAAAAAAAAAAAAAAGCGAAGTGAGGATTTGCTATGGTATAGGGGACAGCGAGAAATGTTAAAAGATACACTCACCTTTCATAACATGTTACACCCGCCCAGCTGTGCCACTCATTCACGGTGTTCTGTGAATGAGAAACTACAAGTACCGACAGCCTTAGCGGCTGTTGGCTTGTAGTCCTGAATGGACTACTGTGGTGCTGTGGTACGACCAAGCAGATATACTGACAGGTCAACAGGAGTCTTGCATGGCACCAGCAATCTGATCATTACTAGTGCAATGCCTTCCAGGCTCCTACAAGAAAAAAAATAAATGCTCATTTTTTTTACCTGCAAAAACAATGTGAATTTATTATTTTTTGTTGAAAGGTGAACATATCCTTTAATTGTGCCCCAGCAGCACCCAGGAAAATGTACCTTTTGCTCTGAATTCCTCCTGAAAATTAGCAGTGCACTTTCTGATATGTGAGGGTGCCTACAGCTTCATATCTGCGGTGTGAGATCTAAGGCACTGCTGCCTCCGACTACTAGTCTCAGGAAAATTGGCGATATCACTATTAGGCTATCCACTGTTCTTGCTGGATGTTTTCACATGAGAAAGCAAAAACCTGCCTCTACCAAGATGGCCACCTCCACACAGACATGCAGTGCAGAACAAGGCATGGCGAGTCAGCAGTGGGAAACAAGCTGCAGGGAGACCACATGCAATACTTGTAATTGCCCCTCTGCCCGCCTTTTTTGGCCACAGCTTCCAGAGTTCAGTTCTTCTTTAAATATAGAAAAAAATATGCAGCGACAAAATCCTGAACAGCTTTATAAATAATCAGTGGTGTTGTATTGGATACTTCTTATGAAGGAATTGTTTAAATCTTGATTTGCACATTTTATTAAAGTCCCCCAAGACAAGAACCCCCACTCCCCATCATCTCACCTCATGCTCCATGAAGAGGGCCTTGAGCTGTCCTTTAGACCAGTAATCCAGAGCATAGGCCAGGAGCTTCATAGAAATGGTATTAATCCGCAAGAAGTTACCCACAAACACCACTTGGCTGATATTCTGTCAGAACAAAGAGAGAAAGAGTTACCGTGTATATAGCCAATCATTACAGCCATTGTAAAGGATAAAAATTCTGTCAAAAAAAGAAAAGAGTTACCGTGTAATATAGCCAGAACATCCTATCGGGTCCCCCAGGCGCTCTCGGCTCCCCCCCCCCCAGCTGGTATGAATGGGGCGCTTTTCACTCCCAATTGGCTCTAGTCCATGGATGGTGGGGGTTTGGGGGGGGGGGGTAAGCTGCATACAGAAGGTATTTTCTTTTTTTTTTTTAAAGCCTAATTCATAGAACACATTAAAGGGTAAAAAAAAAAAACAAACTTTAGCCTTTAAAACCACTTTTAAGTGCACCTTTGCCCAAACTATAAACATTCAATTATCAACATTCAAGAGCTCTGAAACAATTCATCCCTGACTTCTCTAGCTGTTTGTACTGTGAAGCAATTCATTCTCAAAAGATCCTCGGATCACAGTAAAGACTTTGAAGTCAGGTTTCAGTGGATTTCTAACAGCTTAGAAAACACCTGCCATGTCATTAGAGGCAAGATTCTGTGAAAATAGAAAGGAATAAGAAACCAGCTCAGCTTTCCGCGACTCTGCTGTAAACCCTGAATATTAATTTCCCCACAGTGTCTATATTTACAAGGAGCAAGTGAGGACTTAACGTTTTAAAATGCTTTTACGGTCTATTCAGAATATGCAATTACTTTAGTGCAGGGATAGGCTACCTCAGAACTCCAACTATGGTGAAACTACAAATCCCAGAAGGCATTGCAAGACTGTCACCCACAGGCATGAGATACAGTTTTATCACATAGGTAATTGCTAAAGCTGCCTACCCTTCTTTAATATTGGCACCAGTTTGCTTTAAATTATTACTGTCGGCCATTTTTATCTACATACACATTGTTGTCAATGGCAATGACTGAATCTTGCACAGAGATCACAGATCTATTTCGGGAAAGCAGCTCAGTATGTTTAGTAATAAGAGCTTTTGCAAAAGAAACCACAAAATGTACACAACAAAATAGGTAAAAAAAATAGCCATCGTGTCAGCAAATGTAATAAATTAAAGCATCAGTCCATACAAAACTGATACTTTAGATATTTGCAGATGCTGGGGCAGCAAACCACCTTTTTTTCTAATCCTTATATCTCTCACTGACTATTACGCTGTGTCCTTTTTGCAATGGTTCCCATGTCTATATAATGTCATTACAGTTCTGAGGAGTCATTCTCTGTTAAACTAAATTTATTCCTGCACATGAAAAAACGAGGGCTGGAAACACCCAGGAAAATAAATCCCTGCTGTGGCAGGAGCCAGACACACACACACCTTGCTTGGAAGACAACTGAATACAGTGATCCACAATACCAAAAATACTGAAAAATAGATTCTGGGTTTACATACAATTTAAAGGACACTCTTGTGGTTTTGGCTTCCCTTGCCTGTTTAACAATCTGTTTTATCTAGTTCAGTGGTTCTCAACCTGTGGGTCGCGACCCCTTTGGGTGTCGAATGACCCTTTCACAGGGGTCGCCTAAGACCAATCAGAAAACGCATATTTCCGATGGTCTTAGGAACCGAGAAACCGCTTCTCGATCCGTCTCCAAGCGGGTCCGTCCACATGCAGATAGACTCTATGAGGTAGTGGTGAGGGCGGCCGGAGGGGCTCGGCAGGGTGTCCCACATTCCCGGCTTGCTGTGAGCCTCTCACGCTGAACACCAGCACACTGATTGGCCCGCTCCCTCTTCCCTGTGCGTTATGAGCGGCCGGCCAGGCTGGAAGCTCCTCCCCTTATAGGGGCGGGTCGGAGGTGCCCCGCTGCCACCCATTGGCTGTCCTTGCACCTGCTGCATGTTTCCCCGGGCGGGCAGCTGCTCACAACAGCTGTATAGATGTGAGCTGGGCCCCCATTTGTCTCCGGGGAAGGGGGATCTGGTTACCCGCAGAGCGTGTGCCCTACAGCCGCTCACCTCCCATGGAGGCTTCTCCTCACAGCACTTGTACGAGGGCTGGCACTGGGGCACACGGCCCGCTAGAGGGAAGTACACAGCGACCAGCAATCCCAAATTTTCCGGGGTCATACAAGGAGCCTCAGGACAGACGACTTGGTGTGGGAGAGGGCTGATATCCCTGGGGGGGGGGAGGGGGGGGGGGAATACTGGCCATACACACTTCAATTTTACTATCAGATCCAATTGGCAATCAGATTAACTTCCGTTCCCATCAAATTCCTTCAGTCGATTGACCAGGGCGCAAAATAATCGACCGTTTTGCATCGATTGGCTGCACTGAGATGCTTTTTCCATCAATTGTACCATATTTCCATCAATTTATGAGATTGCATGGTGAAAACAGAGATGTGGTCGATAATCTGAGATTGTATCTTCCAAATATCGATCAAAATCCACTTCCACATCCGTGGCTGATCAATTGATCGTGTTATTGGTAGTGGTGCACCGAAGTGAAAATTCTGGTGCCGAAAAAAAAACCGCTTTCTGATAATCTGATCATTAGTACTCCGCTGTCGAGGGCTGGTAATGACAGTTCATGTGAAAATAGCCAAAGGGACAAGCACAAAAATGTTCTTGTACAATCACAGAAGGAACTATTGAAAATACATCCTGCATATCAGATATTTACATTACGATTCATAATAGTAGCAAAATTACAGTTATGAAGTAGCAGCGAAAATAATTTTATGGTTGGGGGTCACCACAACATGAGGAACTGTATTAAAGGGTCGCGGCATTAGGAAGGTTGAGAACCACTGATCTAGTTTTAAATTTTGTGAACAATTATATATACACAACAATCCTAATACAGATATGCATTACAAATATTTATTACAGATTTATCATTGAATTTTAGGTTTGATTTCATAGTCAGGTCAGAGATCTTTTTCCAACATTGTATTTAGTGTGAAACCAAACTGGCCATATCAGAAACGGTTGGCTAGAGGTAGCAGCAGCCAGAAAGGATGAGGATGAGTCTCTGCTCTTTCATAGCCCTGTACAATGCTGCTTGACTTAGATGCTACAAGGCAGCACTGTAAAGAAGCTGAAAGCTCAGAGGCAGTTGTCACTATCAGATCATGGAAGCGGTAATAAAACAAGCATGACTGCACGTAGTTATAAAAAACATTCATATCTGCCAATACACAAACAATCATAATCAGCCAAACGCTGCAGATGTTACTTATGTCTGAGCATCAGCATTTCTGGACGTAATTTCAGACGTTCACTTTGCGCGTATAATACATTCCTGTGCAAAATTCATTACTATTTATGCTCATATGCGCTTGTTTGTGTGCATATGCAAATACCAGTGCAAAATACTGACCTGGAACGTGTGTGTGTGTGTTATGTATGTATGTATGTATGTATGTATGTATGTATGTATGTATGTATGTATGTATGTATGTATAATATATATATATATATATAAAAAATTTATTACAGATACTTATATAGCGCCGGCAATTTACGCAGTGCCTTACATATATATATATTGTACATTCACATCAGTCCCTAACCCTCAAGGGGTGTACAATTTAAGGACCCTAATTTACATTCATACATACACATACTAGGGCCAATTTAGACAGGATCCAATTAACCTACCAGCATGTCTTTGGAGTGGGAGTACCCAGAGGAAAGCCACGCAGGCACAGGGAGAACATGCAAACTCCTGGCAGGAGGTGCCGTGGCTGGGATCCGAATCAGTGACCCTAGTACTGCCAGGCGGAAGTGCTAACCATTTAGCCACCGTACTGCCCAATATATATATTTATTTTTTACTCAAGAATACACAGCAAAAAGGCTGCATTTTAGGTCAGTTGCAAAAAAAAAAAAAAAAAAAAAAAAAAAAAAACGCTGTATTTAGCTTTTTCAAGCGGCAGTGTGCAAGAGGCATTAAAGTGGTTGTAAAGGCTGAAGGTTTTTTACCCCAATGTATTCTATGCCCCTCAATTTATATTTATCTGCGTCCTATCTCGATCCAGCAGTGTTGGCTCCTGCTGCTGTCAATCAGGGTCAGTGAGGAGGGGGGGGGGAGCGGGGGCCGAGAGCCATGCTCTGCGTATCTTAAGGACATAGAGAATACAGCTTGGGAGTGAGAGCGCACAAGTGCTTCAAGTGTACGTAGGTTGCTATGGGGGCACACAGCGGGGGAAGTGAAGGAGCCAGGAGCAACGGCGGGGGACCCAGACAGGAGAAGGACCGTGGCTGCTCTGTGCAAAACCACTGCAGAAAGCAGGTAAGTATAACATGTTTATTCTAAAACGAAAAAAAACCTGAACCTTTTAGATCACTTTAAAAGGATACGTTCTCTTTAGCAGGTTAAAAAAAAAATTCTAATGAGCCTGCAGAGCATTGCACCTGCGGTCAGCATATTGCAGATGCAATGTCCGACTCCTGTAGACTCAGTATAGCTGTCCACTCTTACCTCCTGTAGGGGCAGACCAGTTACTGAACTGCAGGAAGATGGATGAACTACAAATGCCCTCGCAGTTCATTGAGAGCTGTGTGCCACAATGGCAGATGGTATAGTTCATTTATTCACAGAACTCTAAATGAATGATGCGGCTGTGTGGGTGGAACCCTGCACGGCCATGCCATTTTCAAAATGAGACAGTGGTATGGGGAGAGAATGTCACAGGGAGGGAGGATGCTACACCCCAAATACAGGTTTAACATGTAAAATGTTCAGAAAGGTCCATTTTGCCGTGGATAAAACACTATTGAGCAGCGCTGCTTCACAAACAGCACCAACCTTTCTGTCAATACGGGACAGACGGCGGTGACACCGCAAGCAAACCATGGGGGATAATTAAATGGCTGGTCGAGTGATGTGACCTGATTATTTAATAAATAAATATGCCTAATGTAAGAGTGTCTATCTGAGAAAATGCCAAATAACTAAATAGTCATATATTTATCAGATGACAGGGTATTAGTCCCGGGAATGGTATGATGCTGGATACCAGTGATTCTATATACCATATTAATAAATAAAAGTTATATCCACATATAGAATTACACCATGGATCCACGGCATATGAGGCGATAAGAGCAATTAAGACATAACAATTACATAGTCCTATATATTCTCCCGAAGATACATAAAGACCCCATAAAACCCCCAGGAAGACCCATCATAAGTGGAATTGGGTCCTTATGCTCCAAAATTGGTGAATACATCGATTTTTTTCTTCAACCACTAGTTTTACAAATGCCTTCCTACCTGCGTCACACTAAACCGGTATTAAATGAAGTCAGCAAAGTCACCTTATCTTCTAATACATTTTTGGTGACGGCAGATGTTGCCTCCCTATATACCAATATCGATCACCTAGACGGCATGGAAGCAGCTGACTTTTATTTAACGCACAACAGCACTTTACCTGTAGCACAGAAAAACTTTATTTTGAACCTGTTGGAATTTGTAATGCACAACAACTACTTCTGGTTTAATAAGGCCTACTATTTACAAATCAAGGGAGTTGCAATGGGGGCTATGTTTGCCCCCAGTCTAGCGAATTTATTTATGTCTCGTTGGGAAGAAGATCTTATTTATGCTAGAGATTGGCCTGAATTGTTGATGTATAAGAGGTACATAGATGACATCTTCTTCTTATGGAATGGAATGGGAAGAGGAATCACTCATCAACATCTTCAGTACCCTGAACAATAAACTTAATATCAGCCTCACATATTCCTACAGTAAGCTTGAAATTAACTTTTTGGACCTAACTCTTATAAATTTTAATGGAAAGATTGTTAAGAAGTCATTTTGCAAAACCACTGACCGCAACAGTTACATCCCTATTGACAGTTGCCACCATCCCACCTGGTTGGCGAATATACCAAAAGGTCAATTTATGAGGATCAGACGCAATTGTTCGGATGTGAACACCTATCATTTACAGATTTTAAAGAACAGGTTTATGGAAAAGGGGGAAAAGAGGTATAATCTGCCCCTTTATTACAACTTATTCGATACAACATAAATGTATCAGTAGAATTATTAATAAAAACTGGGACATCTTGAAAAGCAGACCCTGTGTTATCCAAAATCCTACCTGAAAAACCGGAAATCATTTTCCGTAAAGCCATGGCTGTCAGACACCGACTTGCACCTAATGTAGTAGTGGACCCTCCCAAAAATACTTCTCTTTTTACTGACCTTAAGGGATTCCACCCATGCAATAGGTGCATCGTATGTAAGTGCAATAATACCAGAAAACGGAAGATTAACACATTTAACTCATTTGTCACTGGCAGATCCTATAATATAAAACATTTCATTTCCTGTCACAGCAGATATGTTGTATACCTGCTACAATGCCCCTGCCAGAAACAATATGTGGGCCGTACAACAAGAAGGTTACGCAGCCGTCTACATGAACGCGTCTAATATTAAAAAAGGTTTTAGAGAACATTCCTTATCGAACCACTATCGATTATACCATAATAAGGATCCATCTTCCATTAAATTTGTGGGAATCGATATCGTCTGCCCTCATTGGAGGGGCATAAATAAAACAAGGACTGTCTTACAAGCAGAGTCCAAATGGGTGTTTGAACTTAATACTTTACACCCCCTCAGACACAACATAGAAGTTGATGTCAACTGCTTTATTGCTAACAGTTGAGCCCCTTTTAGACCATGTACGTGCCCCATATATATATACACATTTTTGCAATTTTCTGAGCTTTTATTTATTTCTATTTTTATGCGATTCATTCCTATCCTAGTCTATTTATATATATATTTTTTATATTTTATGTAATATTTATTACTCTTACAGTCTCTGGTTTAACCAAGATTTAATTATATAAGAATATTATTTATGAATTTTTAATTTACGATTCATTCTTATTCTATTTTTAAGATATACAATTTTATATATTTTTCACAACTCTTTGATTTTTTTTATATATTTATCTTCCACGTCCTAAGTTTCTAACCTTCTTAAATTGCCGACATTTGCCTAAAAGCATCTTTTTGACCTTTTTATATACCTTAGGGTATTTTATACTTAGGTGATTATGTTAATTTTAATATTGTTTATTGTACCTGATTTTATGTAATTGTTATGTCTTAATTGCTCTTAGCGCCTCATTTGCCGTGGATCCACGGTGTAATTCTCTATATGTGGATATAACTTTTGTTTATTAATATGGTAGCACTGGTATCCAGCATCATACCATTCCCAGGACTAATATTCACCCTGTCATCTGATAAATACATGACTATTTAGTTATTTGGCATTTTCACAGATAGACACTCTTACATTAGGCATATTTATTTATTAAATAAGCAGGTCACATCACTCGACCAGACATTTAAATTATCCCCCATGGTTTGCTTGCAGTGTCACCGCCGTCTGTCCCTTATTGACAGAAAGGTTGGTGCAGTTTGTGAAGCAGCGTTTCTCAATAGTGTTTTATCCACGGCAAAATGGCGTCTTCGGGGGCACACATGTGCACTCCCCGACAAAATGGCAACGGTTAAGTGCGCACGCGGCGTTTTTCCTATAAAAGCAATTGACGTCAGTCACGCTCCTGTTAGCCTCCCCTCTGATGATGTGCTATGCACGAAAGGCCTGAGGAGGAGCTGACAGAGCATGACGTCACTGCCACCGGAGCCACGAGGAAGCCCGGCAGCCATCTTTAATGAGGGTCAGTGCTGCCTAACTCTGCATTTCCCTGCAATACTGTGCATACTACCCTGTTTTAACCCCGTATTACAATAAAATGATTCTGGAACATACTACACTATGGGTACTTTTAGGAGCTAATAAACCTGCAGATAATCCCCATTGATCCAGCATCCAGAGGAGGGAGCCCTGTAACCAGGCTGAGCATCCATCCATCCTTAAGGGGACCTCTGGACCCAGCAGATTTCCATACTGCCCCAGGCTTCATGACCATACCATAGAAGGAAGCTCCCCACACATCTGATACCATCCGCCTATCTAAGAGATCCCTGGTGGTTACACATATACATGTGCATTACCTATGCACTTTTGGTGAGTGCGCAATTTTACCATTTGTTCCAGTCACAAGTCTGTCTAGAAATCTGCTGTTGGGAAGATCATCAATCTGTGCTTTTTGAACTTTATTCCTTTATTGGATGAACTTTTACCATTTATGTTCACTATTTTTATGACTGCATATTAGCGCTGCACTTTATTTTATTTATTGTCATTTGAAGGTTTATTGTGGTTACCTTGAGTGTTACAGCTGCTATTTTTAGAGCGCTCGCTTATCACTATTCTTACTTTGTCAGCTCAGTGGATTGCTTTAAAAAAGTCCTGGATTCTTAGATACAAAGAACATAACTAGATACTAACATTTATAGGTAAAGTTGATCCGGGGAATATCAGATTGCCTCTCGGGATCAGGAAGGAATTTTTTTCCCTACAGGAGCAAATTGAATCGTGCTTTGTTGGGTTCTTTTGCCTTCCTCTGGATCAACTGTGGGTGTAGGATTATAACTTGTTTTTGTATTATTTAATGGTTGAACTGGATGGACTTTCTTTTTTCAGCCAGACTATGTAACCTTGCTCAAACTGCATTCTGAGTTAACAAAACTCAAGAAATATTTTGATTGCAGAAATGACTGCCAGGATTGCCTAGCAGCTAGTCATCTGCCCAAGTATGTGCTTTGTGCTGGAGGGGAGGTTCAGAGTGCAGACTGACCAATTCAAGCCACCCATAGCAAGTGACTTGGAGATGAAGAGAAGCACACATTGCCAGCGGGGGGACCCCAGAAGAGGAGGTTCACAAGAGGCAAGTATAACAGGTTTGTTATTTAAACTAATTTAAAAAAAAAAAAAAAAAATGTAGCTTTACAATTGCTTTAATTTAGCTGTGCATGATCTGAAGCTAGTCACTTCCAAGGGTACAAGTTACTGTTTATTATCACTTTATTGAAATATCAAGCAAATGCAAATCTTTCTCTTCCATCTCTTCTGATTTGTAAGTGTGTGGTCTGCTTGTACTTCCATCTTCTACTTGTAATCTTAATGTGACTGCAACAAACGATGTGTTTTTTTGTGGATAAAGGAGCATTTGTATAAATGTTTGCAAGTGCTAGCAGAAAAAAAAAAACAAAAAAAACACAACCCGAAAAACAGAAGTTCTAACCTTAAAAAAAAGTAAAATCTGCAACAGGAGAGCATTCTTTTTCTACTTGGTTAAATAAGCGAGAACCTGTCTGCCTGTCCCTCATTGGTGCCTGACATTATCTGGATGCCCCAATACAACGTCAAGTGTGGGTGAAAGGCTCACCTCGTTTAGTGCACACATGCGTGCTATGGAACCAATATTATTGGTGATAGTAATGAGGGTGGCTCTGGCCAAGTCTTCCTTGCTCACCAAATCCCTCTTCTCTTTGCTCATCATGTTCCCAAAGCTGAAAAAAAAAAAAAAAAGGAGAGAGGAAGAAGTTCTATGACCGACAACCATGTGATAAGAACAGCCCAGGCAACTTTTATAAATGTAACCAGACCAACAACATTCACTTCTGCTGAAAAAACAATGCGGTCACCATTTTCAGATAACAGTTACATTTTTTTTTTTTTTTTTTTAACTCTTGAGATGCATCTCCTATCATGCTTTGCCTCTCGGAGATTCCAAATACGAAAAGTCCCTGTTGTACACACTATTCTACAAATATGGAGATTCATTTGAGGAAGCGTGAATTTTTGCTCTTTAATAACCATGAAACGTGGGTAATTTGTCAGTATTCTGCTGAAGTCCCTGGGAGTTCTCGGAAGCCAGCATGTGACTTAATTTGTTAGGAAGACAAATATAAAACCACACACTTTCTCATCCCCATTTAAAAGGCAGTTTGGTAGCTGTAGAAGTAAGCAGGCATGAGTAGGCATACAGTTAGTGTTGGGGGGGGGGGGGGGATAAGAATAATGTCACAGTTAATGTACCCACTTCCTGATCACAGAGGAACTGTTCACTTCTGCATTTACAGCCTTCATTGAGTAATATCAAACACAGCTGTTTTCAAACTTTCAATTTTCGCTAAATCTACTTTGTCATGTAGAAAACGAAACTAAAGAAATGATGAGCAATATTATTATTACACAGTTTTGATTTTAAACAATGCTTTTAGGTAAATTTTTTCTGTTTTTATATCTTTCTTTTTTTTTTTTTCCCGATATACAATATTTGTCTAACAAGTAAATATTCAGTAAATTGTACCTCAAACAGCTAAATAAGCAGATAAAAAAAAAAAAAAATAAAATACTGTGAAGAGTGGTTTTACCAGCCAAAAGGATTTGTATTTCTGTCCATCCGATGCATCCTTTATGAGCTCTACAGTACAGGGGATTGTAAAAGACTGATACCGTGTGCTGTAGAATACGGCCCTGCCATTATATGTTATGCACTATTCCACACCCGTGTGATGGCTAATGTAAATATACCATTATTGTTGTTCTCATTTGTTTGCCAGTAGCACATTCCATGTGTGTTGCAGACTATCACCAGTTTCTGTACATGAAGATCGGAAGTAGCACTGAGAGCAGAAGCCCACTGAAATCTATAAACTGCAGGTGCTTAGGTAAGAATTCTAGAAAATGGTTTTATATTATTGTGCTCAATGTGTTAAAGCAGAACTCAAAGTCAAAACTGTTATTTCCCCATGCAGTGGGGCTGTGCCTGCACTGTATCGGTTTAGTGCTCGTTTTGTCCAGGGGCTCGAGGAAAAACTATACTTAACCTGTCCTCCAATTCACCAAAAAACCACGCTCTGCAATGTCCAGCGGTGGACTGTTCCTGCTCTCCGCACGTCCGGAGTCGGTCTATGGACATGATGACAACACGAACAGTCTATTCCAAAGACCGCTATCGTGCAGGGGGGCAGGAGCGGCGAGGACTGGTCTTGCACTTAGAAGATCGGCGGATCAGGTAAGTATACAGTGGGGAAAAATAATTTGATCCCCTGCAGATTTTGTAAATTTGCCCACTTACAAAGAAATGTAGTGTCTATAATTTTTTATCATAGGTGTAATTTAAATGATAGAGACGGAATATCAACCAAAAAAAACTGAAAACACACGATACAAATGTTATAAATGGAGTTGCAGTTCAGTGAGTAAAAAGTCTTTGGTCCCCTACCAACCAACAATAATTCTGGCTCCCACAGACTGGCTTTGTGCTCATGTGGTACACAGAATAGTCCTGCCAATTTAAGAAGGTGCTCCTAACGACAACTGTGGACCTGCACAAGGCTGGAATGGGCTACAAGATCATTGGCAAGAAGCTTGTGTGAGAAGGAGACAACTGATGGAGCAATTTTTTTCGCAAATGGAAAAAATACAAAATAACCAATCGCCCTCGGTCTGGAGCTCCATGGAAGATTTCACCTCATGAGGTAAGAATGATCATGAGAAAAGTGAGGGATCAGCCCAAAACTACGCGGGAGGAGTTTGTGAATGATCTCAAGGCAGTTGGGACCACAGTCACCAAACAAACCATTGGTAACACAGTATGCACCATGGACTGAAATCTTGCAGCGCCCACAAGGTCCCCCTCCTCAAGGCACATGTAGAGGCCCCTCTGAAGTTTGCCAATGAACATATAAATGATTCAGAGAAGGATTGGGAGAAAGTGTTGTGGTCAGACGAGACCAAAATTGAGTTCTTTGGTATTAATTCGACTCACCGTGTTTGGAGGAAGAAAAATGCTGACTATGGCCCTAAGAACGCCATCCCTACAGTCAAGCATGGAGGTGGAAACATTATGCTTTGAGGCGGTTTCTCTGCTAAAGGTTCAGGCTGACTTTTCAGCATTGAGGGGCCAATGGATGGCCCCTCTTTTTTGTAAAATCGTGGATGAGAACATTCTTCCCTCAGCCAGAACACTGAAGTGGGTAGTGGATTCTTCCGGCATGAAAATGACCCCAAAACATACCACCAAGGCAACAAAGGAGTGGCTCAAGAAGAAGCACATTAAGGTCATGGAGTGGCCTAGCCAGTGTCCAGACCTTAATCCTATAGAAAATTAATGGAGGGAGATGAAACTTGGTTATAAATAAGCACTGCATTGTGTGAAAGCAGTCAGTCAATCATTTCCCTGGCATCCTGTGATCTGTCATTTTGGGATAAAGACATTTTATATGGACATCCCTTTGCGGAGTGCTGCATCCTCTTTTTTTAGTTTCTATATCTAACGCGGTGGTGACCCAGGCCGGCACCTGCCAGTTGGATTGGCTTTTTGTGATCAGCCTTTTGCACTCACCTGAGTGGTGTATCTTCATACTTCCGAGCTGAAACTTCGAGTTGCCAAGCAACAGCCAAGAATCCTTAAGGATTTAGAGAAGGTCTGCAAAGAAGAGTGGACCAAAATCCGTCCTGAGATGTGTGCAAACCTGGTAACCAACTACAAGAAACATCTCACCTCTGTGCTCGCCAACAAGGGTTTCTCCACCAAAGTACTAAGTTATGTTTTGCTTGGGGATCAAATACTTATTTTACTCACTGAACTGCAACTCCATTTATAAAACATTTGTATTATGTGTTTTTTCTGGATTTTTGGTTGATATTCTGTCTCTATCATTTAAAAATACACCTATGATAAAAAATATAGACCCTTCACTTCTTTGTAAGTGGACAAACGTATAAAATCTGCAGGGGGATCAAATAATTATTTTTCCCCACCGTTAACGTGTTTAATAACACCTTAACAGTTTTAGTTCTGAAACAAAGCAAGAATGGAGGGGGCAAATGAGAACTTTAGCTTGTTCATTAAAAAAAAAAAAAAAAAAAAAAAAAAAAAAAAAAAAACTGATTCTTCTAAAAGTTCATACTGAACACATTATACTAACAAAAGAGCATGATCTCTCAGGTCTCATTCATGCTATACGTACAGAAAAACGGACGGAAACTGATGTGTCTGCAAGTGAAATCTGCCCATCAGTTTTCAATGAGTTTTATACGTATTGCAGATTCCGGGGAAGAAAAAACTCTGCACGTGATACTAGTGTTGTGGTGTAAAGAGGGTACAAAGAAAACAACGAATTTCATTGTGCCCTTGCAAAACTCGTACAGAAAAACTGATGGCTCTGCACCGTGGTGGGAACGGGCCCTTAAAGTGGAGTTCCACCCAAAAAGGGAAGCTCCGCTTTTCTTCCTCCTCCCCACCTCACTGCCACATGGGAAATCCAGAAGGATATTAATGACCGACATAAATGCTGCTATGAATTGATTACAATAATTAAAAAGGACAAGTTCACAAAAAAAAAAAAAAAAAAAAAAACATTATTTTGCAGGCAAAAAAAAAAAAAGTGTATTTACGATTTTTACTTTTAGGAGCCTGGAAATCATTGCACCAACAATCAGAAGATCACTGATGCCATGCAGGACTCCTGCAGACTGTCAGTGTAAGAGCAGGCAGTTTCACACTAAAAAGGAGGAATCCATGAACTGGCAGAGCACTCAACAGTACCATGGAAGTGCATCAAGAGCTACAAGCCGACAGCTGCAAACGCTGTTGGGACTTGTAGTTCCCCATACACAGAACTCTGTGAATGCAAGTTTTTTTTTACATTGTGACAGCTAGCGGGGAAAAGATCCTCTACTAGCTGTCCCAACAGGGGATCGGGGGGGGGGGGGGGCTGGGGTCACAATGTAACAGTACAATGTTATGAAAGGGGAACTTAGCCTTTAAATGCATTGTAAGCATTAGAATTCAAACTTAATCTTCTTGAAATTCTCTATGTACAAGCACTCAGACTGGGAGAAGAGGGGGAGGGACTGGGAGACAATCAGGTCTGCTAACAGGTGAAGAAAGCAGAGTGAGCAAAGGAGTGGCCTCATCAGTCTGCTGTGCCTTGACTGTCCAATCAGCAGGCTGTGGGTGGAGCGATGACACCACTGTATTCCTTTGCTGTAAATTATGTTAATTACATGGCTGCTCTGTGGAAATCTCTGGACTGGATAGATAAAAATACAAATCCTTTGGCAGGTAGAACAGCTTCTATATACAGATGCATTCACATGTTTACCTGGCGTTCAGCTTTAGCCAACCAGAAAAGTGAATGGGAAGTAAAGTTTTCTGTAGTTTATGACTTCTCCATAGAACTAACCTGGCTCTATCAAAGAGCAGTATGCAAAATCCAATAGACCCCACCAACCAATCAGAAACCCAGTTTCATTGGTCAGCCAATAAACTGAATACAGCATTTGTACTTAATACTTCTATTTGCTTCGGTCTACTAAATAAATGTGTACCTGGCTTACCTGGAGGCAACCGCATAGCCTGGCAATCCAAAGCGATCGTAATCCCCACCGTAAATGTCGCGAACAAGCTTATCTACTTTGGTGCTCTCTCCAAGAGCTGCCATTTCCAGAGCCTCTTCAAAAGTGGAGCAGCCAGTGAGGAGGCAGCACAATCCGAAAAATGTCCCTCCTCCGAGACTGCAGGAGACAACAGAGAAAGTGCTACTGTATTGTATATTTCCTATACATTTAACCATTCTCTTAATGTGTCATTTATTTATGGTAGTAGTGTGATACTGTAAGTGCACAAAGTTGTGAATACATTAAAAATACATACTGTACTTTGTATAGTCAACTAAAAGTACTGTTGGGGGAAAAATAGTCTATTCCTCTTTTCTCCGTGTTTGACATATAAACCACAGTTTTAAAATCAACAGAACATGTACCAAACCTCAGACTGGTTTAGGGAATATGTCGGAGTGTAACAAGTTCATTGTAACAGATTGGAGTTCTAGCAAAAAATTAAAGCCCAACTCCGGGCAAAAAAAAAAAAAAAAAAGCCCACACTACACGGATTAACTGCTCGTTTTGTCTAGGGGCGAACAGAAACTTAATACTCACCCGATCCTGCACTCTGGCGACAAACAATGCTCTCCCACGGTGGATTATTCTTGATGTCCTCACTTCCGGAGCAGATCAATGGGTTTCCTGACGTCAGGAACAGTCCACTGCACAGGTCTGCTGGACCACGACGTGCGGGGGGGCTAGTTACGACAGCAGCTGCCGGGACCGATCTTTTTCCAAGAGGATTGGAGGATTCGGTAAGCATATCTACCTTCTCCATTCCCTTAGACAAAACAAGCAGTTAACTCTTCCAGTGCTGGCACAGCGCCACTGCAAGGGAAAAACCTTTGCCTGGAGTTGGGCTTTAAATATATAAGTAGACATAATGAAGACCGATACCAATTAGTAATGGATTTCTTGAAAAACGTGTGTCAATGAGTGGGCGGTGCTAAATGAACGCAACCCCTACGCAGCCTGTTGTACCGTGACCCGCTTCAAGGGAGTATGTAGTAAACTGGCTTTCATAAAATGGGAACATCAGTAAATAAATTTGAAAAATAGTCAAATTATTAATATTCTGGTACATGCAGCCCACAAGAAAACTAACACAGAAGAAAGAATACATAAACAAGTTGTGAACATTCACAGATAGGGGGGTTGGACAAAATTATGGAAACACCAGGTAAAAGTTATAAATTTGTTCACTATAATGCTGTTGGACTTCCCTGAATTTTCTTGGGAATGACAAATACGAGTCTTGGATGGTGGATAATAGAATCTGATACCACTATTCATGCAAAAATCATTCCAATTCTTGAGGAGATGCCAGAAACGGAAAAGGAGTCCAAACCTTGTTCTCCAAAATTGACCATAGTGGCTCCTGATATCAAGGTCCGGCGACTGCAGTGCCCAGGGAAGGTGCGAGAATTCATCTTCATCAAACCACGATTTGACAACGTCAGCTCTGTCAATCGTCTTGGTAAATGGCACGGTCTTCGGGAAACAATGTTTGCATCATGGGGTGCACATGGTCGGCCAAAATATGTACATAGTCGCTAGCAGTGACTCTACCTTTCAAGGTGATGATGGGACCCGCAGAATACCAAGATATGGTTGCCCAAACCATGATTGCACCGCCACCATGCTTTACCATTGGCACAAGACAGTCTGGCTGTAAGCTTGGGGCAGTGATCACTACATGTAAACATATCCAGTGGTTGGAAGTGTGAAGCTTGATTCATTGGACCATATTACAGTCTTTTTTGATTGATCGATAGTCCACGATTTATTGGTGGTGCACCATTCTCTCCTCTTCTGAGCATCATTACTGGTCACTAGTGCTTTGGCAAATGCAGCTCGCCCGTGAATGTTTTGCTTATGGAGTTCCCTCCGCGCATTTGTGTGTACACGGGCTTTGGAAGACCAAGATTAAGCTCTGCAGTCACTTTTACAGTGACTTTTCCTATGCTGGGTCACAATCCTGCACAATGTCCTTTTGTCTCTTTAAGTCAGTTGACCATGTCAACCGCGCTCATGCTTATCAGACAATTTCCCGGAAACTGTATATGGGGTCATAACCTTTGATACTGTACCTGCAGCACAGTGGCTAAATGGTTGGCACTTCCGCCTGGTAGTACTAGGGTCATGGGTTTGAATCCCAACCACGGCACCACCTGCCTGGAGTTTGCATGTTCTCCCTGTGCCTGCGTGGGTTTCCTCCGGGTACTCCGGTTTCCTCCCACACTCCAAAGACATGCTGGTAGGTTAATTGGATCCTGTCTAAATTGGCTCTTGTATATGAATGTGAGTTAGGGACCTTAGATTGTACACCCCTTGAGGGTTAGGGACTGATGTGAATGTACAATATATATGTAAAGCGCTGCGTAAATTGACGGCGCTATATAAGTACCTGAAATAAGTAAATAATGACAAAAATAAATTGGCAACTTCAGTCACAGAGGCACCAGAAAAGCGGGGCACCAACAATTTGCCCTCCTTGAAGCTCAGTAAGCATGGACATGATTCCATATTACTAGCAACACACACAATGAATGACGAAAGTGAGGCCCACCTGTTAGCTAGGTGTCTCATCACACAGCAGAAGCAAAACAATGTTACATCACTTTCGCTTTCATTGTGAAACATGTCGTCACTTCCACACCTGCAGATCATGTAGTGTTTCCATTTTTTGTCCAACCCCTGTAGATGGTGCATCATTAGAAGTGACATTTATAGCTGTAGATGATGTCATACAACCCGAATAGGTTGACCAATAGCTGCAGATGCAACAACTTTTATCTTCAAAAGTACACTGATCACTGCTTAAAATGTGCTAAGCTGGGTGAAAGAATAACTGCAGCCATCTTGATGCTCCCACATATATTCTCTGACAGTTACAAATTCCAATATGGGAAACATTTCCTTGTTCAGATACTGTGCAGGCCCACTTGTCTCCATATTGACCTGTAAAGTTGCCCCTCACAATGATGTGCTAACAGGGAAGTGCAGGGGGTGCATCAGCTTAGAATCCTGAACAGGAGTGTGAGTGTAGGAATGTACGAATTTATATATACAGTAACTAGGTCACTGCAAGCATTTTGGGAGCCTGCCTTCTTAATTGCCAGCTTAGCAGATGTTACATTGTAGGTATACATTATGGTTTCAGCTAACAATGTAGACAGTATAGTAGTTTTTGAACATTTTGTATTGCAAAAAAAAAAAAAAAAAAAAAACACAACATAAACTACAATACAATTTATTGCATTTTTTGTTTGTTTATGGATCAGTGGACGAATTTGCCCATAAAAAACACCCAAAACTTCAATAGGTCAGTGATGCTATGCAAGTCATATATGCTAGTAAATACGTATCTTAGTATTATAAAAAAAAAAAAAAAAAACACACAGCATAAAAATATCTAAATACATTACATGTTTACTTACTAGCAAAGCAAAACAACACAGAAAAAAATATTATAGATATATGTCTAGCCACTGGGACTCAGGGTGCATGCAGGAGCAACAAAGAGTTCACTTGACCTGTTAAAGTAAAGACACGCATCCAAGTTCCGTTCAGAGCCACTCACCTGGTGCCGGTAACCCGTTTATAGTTGTCTTTGGAATATACAGCCAGGATACTGACCCCTGAACCAATATTTACTAGCAGGAGAGGGTAGGGGTTCTCCAGGGCATAAGGAATCTTTTCACACCGCTCTGGATCTTTTGGATTTTCCAGGTAAAAACACTGGGACTGACCATTAAAGCCAACAGAGTCAATGAAGAGTACTCCTTTAGTAAGGCAGTCCAGTTCATCAAGCTTGCAAAGTTCTAGTCCTCCAACCTAAAAGATGAGAATAAACACTCATTACTCAATAAGCTGTTGTGTCCTACACGTTTAATGGACTGACCTATGAAAAAACTGCGAAAAAAACATTTTTCACATTGTCCCCAACAACCAAAAGTTCCTTGTTTAATTTTGACCTATGAACTGCAAATATGACAGCTGGAAGACAAAGAGGATGCTATGGGCAACACAGTTTTTGGGATAGCACACTTTAAGGCGACTGTAAAAAAGGGATGTTTTGTTTTTGTCATACTTACCTGCTCTGTGCAATGGTTTTGCACAGAGCAGTCCCGATCCTTCTCCTTACGGGTCCCCCACTATTGCTTCTGGCTCCTCCCCCTTCTTAGTCCCATCATAGCAAGCCCCTTGCTACAGGGGCACTCATGTGGGTTCGGCACCAAGCTGGGCTCGGTGTGTCTATGGGCAGACACAGCATGGCTCAGCCACACCCTCTGCTCTCTCTTCAAAGGCTGTAATTGACAGCAGCAGGAGCCAATGGCTTCCGCTGCTGCCTTTATGGCCAGTTAGGAGAGAAAGAGAGGGGAGAGCTGCTGCTCTAGCACAGCACTGGATTGAGATCGGCTCAGAAAACATAATAAAGGGGAGAACTGCACACAGAAGGGTTTTTTTTTTTTACATTAACCCCTTGGCGCTGGCGCCTCCTGGCCCTTCAAGTGTTTCAGAAGCCGGGAGGCAGGGCGGGGTTTTAGGGTCATGTGACCGCTGTGATCCGCTGTCACGGTGGTCACATGATCAGGAAAGGTCCCGATCGAAAGAGATCGGGACCTTTCCGTGAGTACCGGACATGTGTGCTGGGAGCGCGCAGGGCGTGCGCTCTCAGCACATATGTTTTTCTTAATTGCACACAAATGTGCGGCCGCTCGGCGTCAAGGCCCAGGCGCCGGAAGGCCGCACATTTGTGTGCGGCCGGCGCAAAGAGGTTAAAGCAGCAAGCACATTAAAAAAGGTAAAAAAAACCTTCTGCCTTTAAAACCATTTTAATATCAGCCTCTACATGATAGCAAAAATGATATTAGGTTTCATCATTCAAGACTTAATTCCTTCCTATCAATCCCTATTGCTCCCACTCACGTTGTTTGGATGTCAAAGCAATAGAAGCCACCGTAATTCATGCAGAAGCACCAGGTTGGTACAAAGTGGCTCAGCACTGTATCACTGCATCATGAAAGCTATGTATACAGTTTCATGTCTGCTCAACAGAGATGTAAGATTGCAACAACAACACGCAGTTTCAACTTCCCCACACTGGTCTTGGCAGTAGTGTGGAAATATCATGAAGTCATCAAAACGGTTGCTAAAACTGTAATACATAGCGACAGTTTTTCTAGAATGTCATTTTAGATACATGAAAGTGCACAGGAGCATTTCTCGAGGGTCCCTTTACCAGAACGTAGTGCAGGAAACACAAACTCCGTGTACGCGATATGCTGCAGGTGTCAATACATTAATGATACCCCAAAAGCAGAGTGTTTGCTGCACCGGATCACATGCTATCCGCAGTACAATGGAATCCCTGGCAGTGCGTTTCTGAAAAGTCGTGCATGCACCACTTTTGGTGTAATTCAGTACAATATGGTCTGTAAATTGCACTGCACAGAATCGTACAGGAATGCAGACCACATTCCTGTGCGATTCAGGTGTGAACCAGCCCTTTTTTTAATCCACTATACATTTTCTTTTTTTCTGAAATCTTCAGAAATATTTGTGCGACTCTGCTGGGTTCTCTTCTTTTCCGCTTGCTGGGCAGTCCTTACCGAGAAACAGAGCTCTGCAGAGGTGAGAGCATCAAGCACAAGTATATTGTGAATGAATGGAGGACACTATGATGACACCCCAATGGAAGTCAGGCACATGACCCCTCTATGCACAACAGTGTCCTTGGTCTTTCATATGGCGTGAGGTTGGAAGATTTAATTTAACCCACAGTATGGCTTTAACCACTTCCTGTCCGGACACTTTTACCCCCTTCCTGTCCAGGGCAATTTTCAGCTTTCAGCGCTATCACACTTTGAATGACAATTGCGCGGTCATGCAATACTGTACCCATATGAATTTTTACCATTTTTTTGAGACAGATAAAGCTTTATTTTGGTGCTATTTATTCACCACTGGGATTTTTATTTTTTTACTATGTAAATGAAAAAGTCCAAAAATTTTGAAAAAAAAAGTGTTTTTTTTTTTATTCAATTTTGCAAATAAATAATATTTCATTATAAATCTTGGCCAAAATTTATTCCGTTATTTTTTAGTAAAAAAAAAAAATCCAAATTAGTTTATAACCAAAAATTATAATTTTTAAACATTTTTATTTTATTTTTTTATATTTTTTTTATTTTTTTTTTTTTTTTACATACGGTCACCCTAGCAGTACAGTGTCACCATGGTGACACTGTACTACTTGTGGAGGGTGATGAAGATTTTTTTTTTTTTTTTTTTTTTTTACACAGATTGCTTTTACACCCATATAGGATGTAAAAGCAATCATTTCTCTTTCTCTCTGTCTGCATTCTTGCAGTCATTGAGAAGTACTGAGTGAGCTGTGATTGGTCACAGCTTGTCACATGGTACAAGGCTGTTGTGAATAGCCATGTACCATGTGACCTCTGTGATCATTCACAGATTTCACACGTAGTAAGCAATGATGTCACAAGTGACATCTTGCTTACTACTTTGCATGTGATCGCTGATTCGCCAATCAGTGATCACATGATCGGGACCTCGTACAGAGGTCCCGTCCGACGATCGGTGTTTCACTGTGTCCGGAGGACACAGCGGGCACCGGATTGCGGTGCTGCGCGCTCCCAGGAAGCGCGCACAGCTAGAAAAGGCGGGTGCCGTTTATGAACGGCAACCCGCCCCTGAGTGCCACCACCCTGCCGTTTATCAACAGCAGGCGGACGGCAAGAGGTTAAGAAAATGTGTTTACTTTATATAATGTCTGGGTATAGGAGGGCCATATTTGTAGATGACAATACCAACAAATCATAACACCTAAGCTAACAAGCACACCCTTCTCTCTAAGGAACCATATCTCGTCAGATATATAGTAGAGTGTGAACCTGCACTGTGATATACAGCCAGAGAAGTTGGAATATACACATTTGTGCATGACATATTACGAAATATGGGGCAGCACACCTGTGATATGTAGAAATCATAGTAGAGATGCTGAACATGTGGGTCAGGACCCCAAAAGGGCGATAAACTCTTGTCGGCCCAATTGCAAAAAGCATTGGATTGCCTAATAATCTTCCACAAAAATGTATATAGGCCCCTTTCACACATATGGTCCAATCAGGTCCGCCTGTCAGTTTTTCAGGTGGACCCGATGGGACGTTCCCATTCAACCTTCTGTCCTCAGATCACTTCCTGATCAGAGGAGAGAGAGTGGATGACAGGTCCGTATCCGTTCAGTTTCTGCAGAGCAGACACGGACTGAGCCTTCTCTGATATATGGGCAGCTAGAAGTAAACCGATTTCGCTGTTCGGTTACACCTGCCTACCTCCAATCTGATCCGGTCCATTAAAAAAAAAGTAATGAAAGGGGATCAGAAGGCGGATCAGGTTGGAGGGAAGCTGGGTGTAAACGGACAGTGGAATCCATATATGTCCAGTTTCCCACAGAGCAAGAGTGGGCTCTATCCATGTCTGCTCTGCATAAACGAAGCAGACACAGACCTGTCATTCACCCGGCTCTGCACTGATCAGCAAGATATCAGTTGAAAGATCCCCTGCTGGTCAAGTCCAAGTCTGTCCAGTTTGAAAGAGGCCTTACTCTGCTTGTATAATTTATACAGTTAATGTAAATTGTAAGTGAAAGCGGCTGCTAAAGCGTACATCAGTCCTTGTTGATCTGCCAGAAATCCTGTGTGCTCCTAACTTCCTGTCTAAGATGACCACTGTGTCTACTACACAGAAATCTCTCTTACGTTGGGACTATAGCACCCTCCCTCCATCTCTTTAACAAAAAAATATTGGTCTGTAGTCCAGCACTGCTTGGTATTTCAGTGTAGCAGGACCTGAGCTGACAGTTCAAACAGAAAGTTATAAACTAATTGTATTTCTGGCAGGATCAACAGGTATTTTGCTATACATTAAAAATGTGGAATGAGTCCTAGAATGGGTAAATATGTATTACTATCACCAAGCACAATATGACCGCACAATCAACTTTGAATTTACCAAACCTACACAACATGACCTACCTAAACGATCCAATCATGCAAGCCCTTGCACTACATAGTTGTTGAAATATATAATGGAGAATGTAAAGTTAGGTCCATATATATTTGCACACAGGCACAATTTTTATACTTTTGGCTCTGTATGCCACCAAAACAACTGAAGACAAAACAATCCAAATGAATTTGAAGTGCAGACTTTCAGTTTTAGTTCCAGGGGTTGAACATAAATATCAAGTACAAATTTTAGGGACTGCAACCATTTTTATACAGTCCCTCCATTTTCAGGGGCACACATTTAATTGGTCAAATGAATATAAATCATAAAAATGTTCATTAATTTATATTTTGTTGAGAATCCTTTACTGGTAATGACTGCCTGAAGTCTGGAACCCATGGACATCACCAAGAACTGGGTTTCCTCCTTTCTGATGCTTTGCCAGGCTCTAACTGCAGCTGTCTTCAGTTGTTCTTTGTTTGTGGGTCTTTCTGCCTTTAGTTTTGCCTTCAGCAAGTGAAATGCATGCTCAATGGGGTTGAGATCAGGTGATTGACTCGGCCATTGCAGAATAATCCACTTTTCCTTCAAAAGGTCCTAGGTTGCTTTTGCAGTGTGTTTTGGATCATTGTCCGTCTGTACTGTGATGCACCGCCCAATCAACTTTGCTGCATTTGGCTGAATCTGGGCTGACAGTATATCTGTAAACACTGCAAAATTCATCCGGCTGCTTCTGTCTTCTGTCACATCATCAATAAACACCAATGACCCAGTGCCACTGGAAGCCATGCATGCCCATGCCATCACACTGCCTGCACCATGTTTTAAAGACGACGTTGTGTGCTTTGCATCATGAGCTGTTCCACGCCTTCCACACTTTTTTCTTCCCATCATTCTGGTACAGATGAATCTTAGTTTTAGCCGTCTAAAGAATGCTTTTCCAGAACTGGTCTGGCTTTTTAGATGTTTTTTGGCAAAGTCTAATCTGGCTTTTCTATTCTTCAGGCTTATGAATGGTTTGCACCTTGTGGTGAACCCTCTGTATTTGCTCTCGTGAAGTCTTCTCTTGACTGTAGACTTTGACAATGATACGCCCACCTCCTGGAGAGTGTCCTTCACTTGTCTGGATGTTGTGAATGGGTTTTTCTTTACCATAGAGAGGATCCTGCGATCATCCCCCACTGTTGTCTTCCATGGACGTCCATGCCTTTTTATGTTGCTGAGCTCACCAGTGCGTTCTTCTTTCCTCAGACTGTACCAAACTGTTGATCTGGCCACTCCTAATGTTGCTATCTTTCTGATGGATTTGTTTTGTTTTTGAAGTCTTACAATGGCCCTATTTCACTTGCATGAACAGCTCCTTTGAACGCATGATGTAGGTTGACAGCAATAGATTCCAAATGCAAATACCACACTTAGAATTCCAGACCTTTTATCTGCTTAACCGCTTTCCTGCTGCCCTATAGCAGATATACTGCTACAGGGGTGTGCAAAAATCAAGTTTATATCGTGATTTTGTATTTCCGGGTAGGGGGCACGCACGACTAGTGCGCACCCTACCCGTGGCCCTGGCTGTCAATCACTGGGTCCCGGTTGTTGATTATTCCCCGGCACCCTGTGATCGAGCAGGATTACCGGAGGGAGAGAACTGCAAGTAAACAAAACAGTTCACTCCCCTGTCATCTCCTGCACACTGCTATGCATGGCTTTGCATAGCAGAACCTTGCATTGCAATGTACTTACAGTGAAACACACGCTTAAAAACATTTTACTGGACATGTTTAATAGCAAAAAGTCAAAAATATTGTTTTTCTTTTCTCAAAAATTGTTGGATCTTTTTTTTTTGAAAAAAAAAAAAAAACACGCACAGGCAATCAAATACCACTGAAAGAAAGCTCAATTTGTGGGAAAAAAAATAGGACTTAAATTTCATTTGGGTGCAGCGTTGCATGACCGCGCAATTGTCAATTAAAGGAACGCAGCGCTGTAACGTAACAAATGGCCTGGTCAGGAAAGGGGGGTAAATCCTCTGGAGGGCAAGTGGTTAAACATGTCCAGTAAAAAAAATTTAAAAACATCAAATTTCATGATAAATTTAGGCCAAAACGTATTCTGCTCCATGTCTTTGCTAAAAAAAAAAAAAAAAAAATCACAATACGTGTAAATTAATTGGTTTACGTGAAAGTTATAGTGTTTACAAAGAGCAGCACAGATATTGGAATTTTTTTTTTTTTCCTTTTTTAATCTCTACTAGTAATGGCGGCAATCAGCAACTTATAGTGGGACTGCAGCGAGCATTCTGACAGAGGGGGGGGGGGGGGACTGACTCCGTGTCACTGACATCCCCAGTGACACCAATGCAGCAGTCAGTGCTAAAAAAGGAAGCACTGACACTGTACTAATGGAACTGGGCAGGAAAGGGTTAACATGAGGGGCAATCAAAGGGTTAACTGTGTGCGGTTTCACAGTAAGCTCTGTGTGTGTGCTTCACTGTAATCACACCACTTTGGATGGCTGTGCACAGCCATCCAAAGCAGTTTGCACGAGCTGGCAGGGAGAACTGTATGTAAACAATACGGTTCTCCTCCCTGTCAGCTCCCTTTAGAGATCCTTGGCAATCACCGGCAAGTAATCACCGGCCAGGACCTGGTGATTGACAGTTGCGGCCCCTACCCAGAAATGCAAAAATCACACACACACCTGTAGCAGTATATCTGCTATAGGGCAGTCGGGAAGTGTTTCATAGCAGTCAAAAATATTGTGTTTTTATTTTCTCAAAATTGTAATTTTGTTTATAGCGCAAATTTAAAAAAAAAAACAAAAAAAAAAAAAAAAAAAAACACACACGCACATTTGATCAAATACCACCGAAAGAAAGCTCTAATCGTGGGGGGGAGGACGTAAATTTCATTTGGGTGCACGGTTACATGACCGCGCAATGGTCAGTTAAAGTAATGCAAAAAATGGCCTGGTCAGGAAAGGGGGGTAAATCCTCTGGAGGGCAAGTGGTTAACTGATGAAGAAATAATGAAGGAGTAGCCCACACCTGGCCATGAAACAGCTTTTGATTCAATTGTCCAATTACATTTGTCCCTTGAAAAAGGGGGGGATGGCTACTCTTTAAAGAGCTGTAATTCCTAAACCCTTCCTCCAATTTGGATGTACATACCCTCAAATTAAGAGAGTGCACTTTCAGCCCATATCCATTGTATAACTATAGCTTGAATATGTTTTGGTAAATACCTGAAAAAAAAAAAAAAAAAAACAGCTAAAAATTGTGCCTGTGTCCAAACATAAATGGACATAACTGTACAATCAGATTGCAACATGTGAGGCAAGTGTTATAGCGAAGGACTGAATATGTTTCTTGCTGTGGGCATTTACACACACACATTCAAACAACTAGCTAAAAAGTGTAATCGCGTATGCTTGCAGCATACTTACAGTAAGGAATTCCTCTTCAAACTTGTATGCTCCGCCACCAGTGGCGCACAATGAGGTGTGTAAACTGGAGAACTGCTTGTCCCGTGCCATCTGAATGAAGACGGACATATCATGAGTGGGAAATCGGATGAAGTGGAGGCTTCCCTTTCTGCCACACATGGTCAGATCCTTTAGCTCTAAGTGGACATCTCGAATACCGGTCTGTCCATAGGCCACATTGGATGTCAGGTATTTTCGGATGCTCTTCAGGCTTTCCACTTCCTCCTGTTCTTCTTCAGCCGTGATGTCTCTGGGTTCAAAATAGACAAGTTTGACCAGCGTCCCACCAATATCCAAGCCAAACCAAGGAAAGGCTAGGACAAAAGACACACACGTTATAGACCCCACACAGTCTCTCTATGCATTATTGTACTCTACTTATCTGGGAACAAATCCATGTAAAAAAAACAATGGCAACCTTTTAATCAGTCTGAAACTGGCACAGAAGTACAATGGGGTGGAGATCTAATTCTCCAAGTTCATAACACATTTCCTAAATGAACACAAAACATGGGTCTGTGTCTCAGTTGTAAATATAAGGCCTCATGCACACAGATCTGTTTAGCCCCTCTGAACGCCAGAACTCCTGGCAGGAGAAGACCCTCAAAAAAAAAAAAAAAAAAAAGGCCTAAACCCGCAAATTACGCGCACGTTTACGTGCATCAAGTGTTTGCGCTTTAATGGATTCCATTGACCAGAATATCAATTTATTCTGGCCATTGGATTGCATGAACGCTCAGTGTTTAGTGTTGAGGCCAAATCATTCAATTTTAGTCTCATCTGATCAGAACATCGTTTTCTATGTGGCCTCAGAATCTTCAAGGTGCTTTTTGGCAAAGCTCAGTGGTGACGGCATGTGGCCTTTCTTGAGGAGTGGCTTTTAACTTGCAACCCTCCCATACAAGCCACATTTATGGAGAATTTGTGATATTGTTCTCACATGCACGCAATGACCTCTCTTTGTCATAAATTCCTGTAACTGCTTCAGAGTTGCTGTAGGCCTCTTGGTAGCCTTTCTGACCACTTTCCTCCTGGCCCTTTCATCCAGTTTGGAGTAACGTCCCGATCCAGGGAGAGTCTGTGTTCTACCAAATACCTTCCACTTCCTAATAATAGACCTCACTGGGCTTCTAGGCATTGATAAAGACTTTACATTTTTTTGTATCCATCTCCTAACTTGTTTCTGTCCACGTTATACTAGAGATCTTCTGATAGTGCCTTGCCTCCCATAGTTGATTAATTGCTTCAGTTGCACTACCAAGGACTGAAATGCTCCAGGAAAGCTCTTTTCATGCTGAAAATTACCACAGCTGATCACAGCTGAAAGTCAAATGGCTTTGCGTGCCATTGAGAAGGTGATTGGCTACACCTGATTGAGTTTACAAGTCATTTTTAGGGTGGGGGGGGGGGTAAGTATTTTCCAACTAAGTGATTCTGTTTTTGAATTAATTTAATTTTTTCCTGACATGTTGGTGTTAGATCTTTCACTTGGATGTTAAATTGCACTGAGTAAATACAGCTGGATAAATCAAAAACTGTGTCCGTCTTCATTTCAGGCTGCAAAGCAACAAAATGTGATTTTAAATATATTTTCTACAGTTGCAAGAAAGTATGTGAACCCCTTGGGATTACGTGGAGTTTTGCATGAATTGGGCATAAAATGTGCTCTGAACGTCATCTAATTCACAACAATAGAAGAACAGTTTGCTGAACATAATACTACACAAACATTAGATGTTGCAATGTTGGTTTCATCTGTCCACAGTATATTTTGCCAGTAGTGCTGTGGAACATCCAGGTGCTCTTTTGCAAACTTCAAACGTGCTGCAATATTCTTTTTGGACAGCAATGGCTTCCTCCGTGGTGTCCTCCCATGTACTCCATTCTTGTTTAATGTTTTTCCCTATTGTAGATGTGTCAACAAAAATGTTAGCATGTGCCAGAGATTTCTGTAGGTCTTTAGCTGACACTCTGGGATTCTTCTTTACCTCATGCAGCATTCTGCGCTGTGCTCTTGCAGTCATTTTTACAGGACGACCATGCCTAGGGAGAGTAGCAACAGTGCTAAACTTTCTCCATTTGTAGACAGTCTGTCTTACCGTGGACACATGAACATCAAGGCTTTTGGAGATACTTTTGTAACCCTTTCCAGCTTCATGCAAGTCAACAATTCTTGATCGTAGGTCTTCTGAGAGCTCTTTTCTGCGAGGCATGGTTCACATCAGACAGTGCTTCTTGAAACCAGTAAACCCAAAACAGGTGTGTGTTTTTTAAGGGCAGGACAGCTGTCAGCAACACATCCAATATCATCACACTGATTGGAGTCAAGGTTGGCTCACTCCTGGCTCCAATTAGCTCTGGGAGAAGTCATTAAGCTAGGGCCTCACATACATTTTCCTCCCTGCACTGTGAATGTTTACATGTTATGTGCAATTAAACCATGGCAACATCTAATGTTTGTGTAGTATTATGTTCAGCAGACTGTGTTCTTCTATTGTTGTGACTTAGATGACATTCAGAGCACATTTTATGCCCAATTCATGCAAAACTCCACGTAATCCCAAGTGGTTCACATACTTTTTCTTGCAACTGTATACCCATTGTAAAATTGAGATTTCACATGTACACCGAGGGCCCATACAGCTAGGTGAACACTAGGACCGTGGCCCATACAGCTAGGTGAACACTAGGACCGTGGCCCATACAGCTAGGTGAACACTAGGACCGTGGCCCATACAGCTAGGTGAACACTAGGACCGTGGCCCATTCAGCTAGGTGAACACTAGGACCGTGGCCCATTCAGCTAGGTGAACACTAGCACAGTGGCCCATTCAGCTAGGTGAACACTAGGACCGTGACCCATACAGCTAGGTGAACACTAGGACCGTGACCCATACAGCTAGGTGAACACTAGGACCGTGGCCCATTCAGCTAGGTGAACACTAGGACCGTGACCCATACAGCTAGGTGAACACTAGGACCGTGGCCCATTCAGCTAGGTGAACACTAGCACAGTGGCCCATTCAGCTGGATGAAGATGGTGGTTGGCTTTATTGATGAGCGGCTGCCTATATGCATACAGTTGCTGTCCCGGGTTTCTGCTGGCAGCATGCTCATCTGGCTACACCATCACTGTGACCATTTTGTCACATCAAATGTGGACATGCCTACTTGCAAGTAAATCATAAATGTCTTTATACCCCTTTCCTCAAGGGCACAAAAAAGTCGTTCCATCCTACCTACACAATACTTACAATAAAATAGATATGGGCTGTTTATTCAGCGGGAACACGGAGGAACGCAGAACTTCCAGCACAGAATGCATGTAATGGCAAAGGGGGCTGGGGTGTGCTGGAGGGTCTATTGATGATGATGTCTGGTGATCTATTTTAGCTGATGTGTAGTGCTAATGGAGGGGGTCTATTGTTGCTGGTGGGGGATATAATGTTGCTCTGGGGTTCCTATGTTGTTGAGGGATCTACTGTTGAAGGGAAAGGGTCTATTTATGCTGGCTGCTGGGATATTTATTATTGCTCTGGGGTTCTATTGATGCTGGCTGATCTATTGTTGCTGGGGGGGTCTGTTGTCATTAACCAATTTCATACAAAATTACTTAACACCATAAAATAATACTTGGCTCTATACTCTCTAAAGAGTGGTAGTAGGAAGTGGATAGGGGGCGGAGACCAGGGACAGTGCTCAGAGGTAAGTCAGGGGCGGAGACAAAGGATGCCTCAGACGAAATGGGAGTACGTGCACCTATTCTCTGAGAAAAAAAGCCCTGCAATAGATCATACCCATATTAACCCCCTGGCGGTATTCCCAAGTGTAGCTTGGGGTAAGATTTCAGTACCACAAGCGGTAACCCCGAGCTACACTCGGGCTTACCATGCGGCGCTGCTCAGGGAGATCCTGCAGAGCTTACCTTGTCCTTTGCTCCCGCGATGCGTCCCCTGCAGCATCCCCGGCCATCTCCTCCGGCCGATGCCGGATATGGCATAGTATAACATTACTGTATCAAACCATTTCACATACATTTTGTCCCGAGTGCTTTGTCCTGTGCCCTGCCTGCATTTTTACTGTTCTTTCTGCCTGGAAACTGAGAAACGTCCATGGCGTCCAAAAAGCGTCCCTTTAGGTCAAAAGCGGTTTTAGACCGGCTAGAGAACAGCGATAGTAAATCAGAACCACTTGCAGAATTGAGTGATAATGATTCGTGGGGGAAATTCGTCATCAGACACTGAAAATGATTTTGCAACTTTGCTCAGCGATGTGCGAACTTGGCGCTATATTTCAAATTTCAGTGTTTTTGGTTTGATTATATTATTGAATTAAAATTATTATTATTATATTATTATTTTTTATGATTATTTATTAAATTATAATTTATGATTTTGTGTTTCAAGTTTTATCCTACCCGGGATGTTTACTAGACTCTTGTTCAGACAGATTTCAGTGAGTTATTCCTAAATATTACAGCCTACAATATAAAATGCCAAATTTCCATGCAAAATAATGGTACCGCTTTCAGCACCAAAAATCTGAAATAATCAGACCGCCAGGGAGGTTAAAGACTAGCACGGTGTTTATTTACCCCATCCACAATTGAACACATTGACTGACAGTCCAGGAGAAAGTGCCTTTTCAATGTTGATTGCTCCAGAGAAGTGATCTGTAATGATACTTAAACTATGGTGGGATGGGGATGCTAAAAATGCTATTATTATTCATGGCGGATATTGTTGTTAGCGTCTTGCTCCAGGGCTAAAATTAACAGTTCTGTTTGGTATACAGTGAATGACTGAATTAGTCGCTCTCCCCTCAACCAGTTATAAAACGCCTTGCATTCTTTTTAGGAAATACAAGGAGCTCTGTGCTTAAAGAATATGCAAGCCCAACATTTCATATTCCTGACATTTGCCTGATGTACCATAGGCCTGTATAAAAAAATGTTTCCGGTTCTCTTTGTATTGCTTCCTTTGTGTGAAGTTTCTGATGTTCCTGCCAGTCCCTCTGCTTTCCTATAGAAACTGACCACAGCAAGTAGAACACACCGTGGTCAGTTCTCTAGCTGTGCTGGGAACTCAGCCTGCTCTCTTTCAACGATCAGACTTCTCCTAATATGCCCCCCTGCACAGCCATTACTGGGCAGATCAGTTTGCTGCTGCATCACCTCCCCAGCTCTCCGAGCTCCTTATGCAGGAGGGAGGAGGGGAGAAGGGCAGATAAATGCAGATCTCCACCCTGCCTGAGTGAAAAGAATACAAGGCTTTTCATGAATGGATGAGGGGGAGAGGAAGACCAATTTAAAA